TAAGTTTCATTTTTGGTGACATGTAGAGTGAGTTCCATGTGTGGCTCCACTTATTGTACAAGGTAGGATTTCTTCATGATTGTCACCTGCCATGTTACAGGGCTAGGACAAAATTGTACTTACTCGGCATGAATTAAGACATAGACACTATTGGGGAAACTTCCAAATCAAGAGAGCAAGAAAGGTATGACTGTCCTCATTTCTCATTCTACATGGAGAGACATGCTAGGTATTGGTGCTCTAGTGAACATCAGTGTGAGTGTCAGAACAGTCTTGTCTGCAGGGTCTACTCAGACAATTTTCAGACTCTGGGGTTAGTTACCAACTGTCGCTAGTGGTTGACTGGGAAAACCATATGCCTAGCCTGTGGGACCTTTTAGGCCTAAGAGAGATTGGGTTCGATAAACCCGAGGGAGAAGGAAGCCCCAGTCCTAGTTGGCTAGTTGTCCAATCAGCTCTGAGGGATACCTAGGGCCATTTGGGGCACCCCTTCGTACCACAATATGCTCTTCCCAAATAGATGCAGTTGGTGGTGGAGAGAAAATGAGCTTCTTCTAATTTGTCTCCAAATATATACCTTCTCAGTCTTCAAAGCCATGCTAACTGCGAAAGATCAATCTGTCTATCAATAGGTTAATTAATCTAACACCTCCTGTATAATATTTTGTACTTTGTCTCAGAAGTCAGTATAACCTTAGTCCACTGTTATCAGGAAATCTTCATTTGTGCACTAGGCAGTATTTAACAGTGGCTTCAGCAACAAAGACGTTTATTTTGGTCATGTAAAAGGAACTTTGAGCCAGATATTATCAGGAATCATGCAGTAGCCCACTGGTATCAAAGACTTCGTTTTCTTCCCTCTCTCCCTTCCCCCTTTTCTTCTTCTTCACTCCCTCCCTGGGATTCTCAGCAGATGGTACTCTTACCTTTAGATATGACTTCTCATAGTCATCAGAGACTGTCTTAGCTCTAAATCACAACTTTACACAACCATGTTCAAGGCAGAAAGACAGGGCAGCACATCTCTTGTTAACCACATTAGGGAGTAAATTCCTTTCAGAACTCTCTCTTCCCTCACCAACTCACTTTCCATCTCATTAAGTCAGAGCTCATTAAGTCCAATTCCTAAATAATCTTTAGTAGTAAGTGGAATTGTTTTGCTTGGTTCAGACTGACCAGATTTCATGCCTGGGAGCTATAGTAGGTGGATGCCTTCCCTGGTTATGTTGAATCCTAAATAAAACCAGTGTTGTGTAAATTAAGCAATAAGGGTAGCATTGCTGTTCAGTAGATCAGGGTTGGCATCTGCTATATATACTTTCTTTTTTTAGTGCCTGGTATATCACCCTGTTCTTTGCCCTGAGCAACGGAGTTTTTGCTCTTTACTTTCAGATTAAGATATGAGTCATATTTATTCCCACAAATGTGATGGTCAACTAGCAATACTAATGTCAAAGGTATTTGATCATTTCCTGCTGATATGGGCAGATTTGGCTACTGGTTGAATACTACCAGTTGTCCAATCTAATGCTAATTCGAATAATGCCACTTCATTTTTTTAGTATAGAGAATAATTCACTAGAGTAGAGAATAGAAAACTCAGGTAGGAGTTATGCTTCTTTTGTCTGGTTTCCTACATAGGGTAACTATGTATGTAACTAATCCTTCCCTCTTTTCCCCTTTGTATAATTGAAATAATTACCATGACTTCCTAAGTCTCCTTTATTTCGTTTGTTCTGTTTTTCTTCAACTATGCTCATGCTTGTATTTAGACTTCTCATTATATTCTTTCATCTCTCTTGATGTCTGTCATCCAAAGATGAACAGTAATTCAAGGGTATGTTGAGACTGTCATGTCCCTTGTTCTGTACCCACAGCCACCATGTTGCAAAACCCAATGGGCACCATCACACAATGTTCTATGTGTATGAAATACCCCAGAGTTGCATGGTGTGTTAGCCTCATTGGAATACTATTTCCTAATAAGAACTCCAATAATGCACTATCTTTTGGGGGAAAAAAGTAGAACCTCAGAACTACTTGTAGCTGCCTAGTGAGCATCTTCAATGAGAGGTCTGTACACATCTCAAATTCAACACTACAGAAAATAGAACCCATTATCTCTGCACAAGGTCTAGTAACACATAAACACACATTCCCTGTTGCAAAGCTGTGTCTTCCTATGGTAAGGATTCATTCAGTCTCGGCCTTAGATATACTTCAGCTCAGACTACTGTAGTGTCTTCTAGTCTTACTCATCTATTTGGTCTCTTGGGGGCTCTTCCTTATGTCATTTCCCTGCTTTAAACCCTTGGATTACATCCCCTCTGCAACGTAAGGACCTGATGCCTACGTGGCAAATATACCTCTTTCTTTTGGATCCCACCTTAGGTTTTTGGTGATTTCTTGACATTTTCTTACTGTGTGCCTTAGGTTGCATGCCCTAGCCCTGTACATTAGAACTACCTCTTGGAGAGTTTTCAAAAATACCAGCACTCAGTCTCCACCCTTGACTCTTAAGCATTAGGGCCTGGGCACCAGAATTTGATAAAAGTCTTTTAGGTGATTCTAATTTCTAGGTTCTTGCTCTCTTGTGAACATACCAAGCTCTTACATCCATCAACATTTTGCATACACTTTCCTTTCTCTATAGTTCCTTTCTCTCCCTTTCCTGCATAATAAAACCTTGCTCATTCTTCAACACCTTAATACAACTTCTTTCTAAAGAGTCACCCGATCTCTTCCTCCTCCTAAGAGTTGATTGCTGTCACAACACTTTCTACATTTTTCACGTACATGTCAATTGTGAGTTACTTAAAGGAAAGACTCTTACCTTATCCATATGGGTCCCCAAAGCCTTGCATAATGCTTAGCATTCCAGTAAAGTTTCAATAAAATTATATATGTCCACCTGGTATCAATGCCTGTTGAGATATGGGTGTGTACAATCATTGTATACCTGAGATAATGTAAGATTAAGAAGTAACTACCATGGCATGGTGAGAGATAAATCTTGCCAGAATAACTGAATTTTGTTCTGTGATAACATGACAGACTGTAACAAGGAGGAATTATTATGGTGATTATGTGTTGAATGACCCACTCAATCTTGATTTCAGTGAAGATCTTAATTCTTTCAGAAATATCTTTCTCAATGATACTGTAGGAAAGCATTGTCCCAATTATGCAATGTGAGTAGACAAGGAACTAATAGGACATTAAGTATCAAAGAAAGACTTCTTTGATTAATAATTAATAGATATGAATCAGTATTCCCAAAAAAGTGGGGGAGAACCCACATACAGTTAGAATGTAGATCATTATTAAGTTTTGGTCAACACAATTCATCAAGGTGATGGAGAAATGTGTGAGGATCCAGACATGAATGCCAAAGATAATTAAAGAAATGGAAAATAGGTCCTATGAGGAAAGATTGTGTAATTAAAGCAGAAGAAAGCTGAGAGACATACATTTGATTACTAATTTCATGTGCCTACACATTTTTTGTGAGATAGTTTCTTTATAGCCACAAAAAAAAAACAAAGTGTGAATTTAGCTTAAACTACAATCAGCAAGTTTTAGTTGTTTATTAAGAAAAACATTCTAATGAACTCAATTACAAAATACAAATCTGATCATGTTGTTCACCTGCATTCAAAGGCTGACTTGAGTCCTATCATCTCTGTCAAAGCCTACTTGTTTTTAATTTGTTGGAAAATGAAATTATGAATGATATAGAAATCATATGTCATATCAAAAAATAGAGATAAATATGAAAAAGAAGAAACAGGAGAAAACAAACATGGAGCCAAAAATTGCTATGGTGTTGGCCAATTGTCTTTTTGTGTTATATTGAAATAGAATTTGATTCCAAAATAATCCACAATGTCGTGATCATAAAGTAGAGGACTTTGACATAGGAATCATGTCTTATGAATCTTAGGATTTCTGCTGTTTATCCTTATACATTCATCCACTAATATTTGCATCCATCAATGAATCTTGTCTGGCACAAATCTTACTGTGATATTTGCCTAATAGTGAATTTATTTTCCTCTTTCCTTCTACATTTATTGATTGAAATTCTTCTGGAAAGAAAAGCTACTTAGGCTGGATTTAGGTGCAGAATGTCAGTACTTCTTGTCATTTTCTGATCTTTTAACAGTTATATTTTTGTAAATATATGCCTTTATTGTTGTTATTTAAGCATTTATACTTTATTACTACTTGCATAAAGGACTTGCAATCACTTAAGTTATTACTACATTTTCTTTATTATAGGCAGACTGAATGACTCAATTTTATAAATAAAAAAAATCAATGACATTATTACAGAAAGACAACTGAATGGGGTGCACTCTGTATGCAAACCTTAAGAAATTATTAGTTCTTTGTTTAGCTTCCACATATCTAGGAGTAAAAATAATACTACTGATGCCTCACCTCAAATAGTTCATGGGACATATGTAAGTTCTCTCAGACCTTTAACTTTAGCATTTCTGGGCTTTTGTATGTTTACATTGTTACATAAAACAGTCTACTGAGAATGGATTCTTATACCTCAGCAACTTTCATGAGCCAGTTATCATGCAGGGTTTACCTACAATGATTACTCAGTAGAAAAGCATTGCATTGCAGCTGATTCATTTCTGAGCAAATTTCTTGAAATTTGCTTTTCAAGAATGTCACCTCTAGCTTTTTCAAAACTGGAAAAGAATATTTAGACCAGAGGTTGATAAACTTCTATAAAGGGTCAAATAATAAATATTCTAGGCTTCATAGGCCATTCATTGCTGGACTCTGCTGTTGTCATTAACAGCAACCATGGATGACATGCAGGCAAGTGGGCTTGACTATGTTCTGATATCTACAACTGAGCTGGGAGTTACAGTCAGTTGACCCCTCCGTGAGACTGTGAAAATACATTGATGCAAAGTGTACATTAGTATTTATCTTTTTTCTCCTTTTTTTCTGTAGGCAGAAGACTGACCTTTGAAAATATGTATTTGGGAGATAGTCACGTTCTACTCAATACTTTGTGCTGGTGCTGCCATCGAAAAATCTGGTTACACTCCGGGGAGGCCTGCTGCCACTGCAGGACTGAACCCCCTCAACCCTGAGATGAGTGTCCGGCCTGAGCGGGCACACCATGAATAGATACACAACGATCAAGCAACTTGGGGATGGAACCTATGGTTCCGTCCTGCTGGGAAGAAGCATCGAGTCTGGGGAACTGATTGCCATTAAAAAGTAAGATTTAACCTTCACACTCATGAATTCACCCTCAACCTACACATTGTCAGCAGTTTTCACTCTACCTTCACCATTCCTCATCTTCGAAAAATTTCTAAAGGAGAGTGGATAGAGGCATGGAGAGGAATCTTAGACATTGATTTCTGTGGGTGGGATAATTGTTGACTCTTGAATAGTCTGGAATACTTATTTTAGCGTCTTAAACACATTCCCACTTTAGATTTAATACTTGGATTTAGTACTTTTTCAAAATATGTTCTCATGGTGTGAGGTACAATGAGCAAATTAAGACACATTATTTTAGGGCCTCCCTTGTGGCACAGGGATTAAGTCTCAGCACTCTGAAGCTATCCGCAGCCACTGCAGCACAAGTTCGATCCCTGGCCAGGGAGCTACCCACATGGCATATCAGACTTCTCCTGTCTCGCCTTCTGCTCCCCTCAGCAGTGTATTTCAGTAGATCCTCCTGTTCTGCTCCCCACTCTGCCTCTGAATCCTCTTACCCTCTGCACCTCTGGCCAACACCCCAGCTCATGTATGCATAAATAAATAAAATAAATCTTAAAAAAAAGAAACATTATTTTATAGGAAAGGAAACTGAAACTATGAGCAATTAAGGGACTTAATTTGGATGGCTTACACAGGTGGTGGTGGTCTAGTGACTAATGTCTTGTGCCCCCCACCCCATTGTATTAATTACAAGAATTAGTGACTTTAAACAACCCTCATTTATTATCTCAGTTTCTATGTATCAGGAGACTGGGGTTGACTTAACTGTCACATAGTCTCTCAGGAGACTGTTATCAGAGTTTGGCAGTGCTGGGCTCTCATCTGTAGGATGGATGGGGGAAGGCTCCACTTCCAAGCTCATTCACATGATTTTGGGCAGCACTTAGAGCCTCAGTTTCCTGCTGGCTGTTGAATAGAGGTTGCTCTCAGTTCTTTGTCACATGAATCTTTCTAAAGATTTATTTATTTCTGCATACAAGAGCTGGGGTATATAGGCCAGAGAAGCGGGGGTGGGGGTGAGAGGATTCACTAGAGACAAAGCAGGGAGCAGAACAGGCAGACTGACTGAAATACACTGCTGAGGGGAGCATTGGGCGAGACAGGAGAGGTCTGCTTCGCCATGTGGGTTGCTCTCTGGCCGGCCGGGGATTGAGCTCGTGGTGCAGAGGCTGAGGATTGCTTCATAGTGCGGTGCTTAATCCTTTGCGCCACCAGGGAGGCCTTGTCATGGGAATCTTTCTAAAAATCATCTCATTGTGTGGCAACTTATTTCATCAGGACATAGGAGCCAGGAAGGCAGGAAGACAGTTTTCTACCGAGATGGAAGCTACATCTTTTTGCTCTTGTGAACTTGACATGGATGTGATAGTCCCCCAAATTACCGTATTCTCTTGGTAGAAACAAATAATTGGTGGAGAGAGGGTTATACCAGGCTGTGAATGCCAAGAGGTGGGGCATTTCAGCGACCATTTTACAGTCTGCTTGCCTCGTCTATCTATGTCCGGTTGCCCTCCTCTGTATGCCCAACTATTGATCATCTAGTCCTGCAGATTCTAACTACTGTTTGTCTGATCCACCTATTTCTTTTATTCCCATTTATTCTCCTTGCTTCCCATTCAACTAACTTCCCATTCAACCCATTTTTACCATCTGTACCATGAGAAGAGTTTCCTCTAAAGAGTTCCTTGCTTTGCCTTTTGCCCTGTCCATCCATCCTGAAGGGATTTCTTTAGATAAACAAACCTATCTGTCTAAAATTGTTTATGACAAACCTTGTGTCCCTGCTGCTCCATTCTGTCCCCCCTGATTTTAGTGTGCTGTGCTGTGGTGTACAGTCCTGTGCCTGCTGCCAGCGTGCCACCTCAAGTGCACACAGAAGACTCGACCAAGACACCTTTCACACGGGTTCATAAAACATCCCACCACGACAGAGCCCCAGGTGCCCACCTGGATGTCAGCTCAACAAAGCACCATTTAGTGGTTTCCACCTTTCTGTTCCCAGTTTCCCTACTCCTTGTCCTGACTTTCTGGAATTACTTCCCAAATAAATGGCCTGTACTCAAGTTTTGCTTCAGTCTCTGCTCTTTAGGGAACCCTAAGGTTTTAAGTTCTTCCTATCAGTTTTAGGGTCAAAGCCTTTAATGTGATCCACATTGCTGCATCATTTGGTCCCTGCCTTTTGCCTTCAGCAGTATCTCTTCTCGCTGCCCCCTGCTGTTCTCTCGCAGCCATCTGGTCTTTTAACTTCTTGAACTCACCAAATACAATTTTGCCCCAAGGCTTCACATGATATTTCCTATCTACAGTTTGCACTGGGCTAAATTCTACTCGCCCTTTCAGCTCTTTGTAGAAACACCATTTCACTACAGGAGGTTTCCTTGGTACGTCAGACTAGAGTAGGTGACTTTGAGGTCCAGTCTCATAATGCCAGCTACCATTTCTTCAAGTACTTAACACAGAAAATGATTAATTGCCTGCCTTCCTGCTATGACGACAGCTCCATGAGGAACGCCTCTTCATCATTGTGTCACTGGTGCTGATAAAGTCCCTGAGTAATATCTGGGGCATGAATAAAGGGATTGGTCACTCAACCAGAAGACAATGTGATATTAGAGACAGAATTGAGAGTAAGATGGAGAAGTGGAAGTTGGTCTGTGAGAGGAGCCAGCAGTGAGATGTTGGCAAATCCTGTAACTTCTATTTCCTCATTTCCTTACCTGTCCTGTCTGTTTCACAAGGCTAACATGAGATTCAAATAAGACGCTGCTGCTGAACTGTGATGAAAGATGTAACCTTGAATCTAGGATTTCTCATTAGCTAGAAGGGTGCCCTTTCTCTCCCCTTAGACTCCAGACCAGGGGTTGCCAAACCCTTTTTTTAAGGACCAGAGAGCAAATATTTTAGATTTTGTGGGCCAGAGGATCTGTTACAACTCAGCTCTGCCCATGTAAAATGGAGAGGAGCCATCAACTGCATATGAATGAATGTGACAGTCACATACCACAAAATACTGTTCTTTTGAGTTGTTTTCTCCAACCATTTAATACGTAGACACTATTCTGAGTTGTACAAAAACAGGTGGTGTCATGGAGTTGACCCCTGGCCACAGTTTCCCAACCTCCAGACTGGAGAGTCCACAACTGTGCTATCCAACAGGGAACAAGTAACCATATGTAGCATTTAAATTTAACTAAAAATTCTGTTTCTCTGTTGCACTAGCCACATTCCAAGTGCTTAGTAACAACATGTGTCTAGTGGTTACCATATGGAGGAGCATAGACCATTTCTACCAGCACAGAGAGATCTACTCGGCAGCTCTGGTCTAGATAAAGCAAGCCTGAGAGATTTCTCTCCAGGGCAAGGCTAGCTACTTAGTGCTAGATCAAGAGAGTAGTTCAGGCCTCTTTACACTGCACTGTATCACCTCTGGGAAAATTTTCTCATGTGGGATTGATTGCACTGCCAGATTTTAAAAGAAATGTTGTTTGTGATTAGCATAATATCAAGTAGAAATAAAAACCAGCTTTAATCACTATTCGTTAGTTCAGAATGAAAACACACCAAAAAATCAAGTTTATTTTGTTGCTGGGAATAAGAATGGTATTTGTTTCTTCTCTTTTAGAATGAAAAGAAAGTTTTATTCCTGGGAGGAATGCATGAACCTTCGGGAGGTTAAGGTATTTATTAATACACTGGGGAATAACTTATGTATGGTTATTAAAATAGTTTTATACATGCTTTGATTTATAGTTGATATAGTCATTCTATTTGAAACATTTTACTAATGCCAAAAAAAATGGGGGCAAATGATATTATGCGGTGTACAGTTAAAATAAGATTGGTATATTAATGTATCAGTGAATATACTTTGTTTTAAAAACATTGATACAGTACTATTAACTACAGATTTATACATAACTCACTAGTTTCCAACTAATATCCTTTTTCTTTCAATTTTGTATTAAGTACATTTATATTCTTGCATGTCCATCACCACCATCCACCTCCAGGACTCATTTCATATTGCAAAACTGAAAGTCTGTTCCCATTAGACACTAACCTTTTCCCCAAGCCCCTGGCAACCATCATTATTCTTTGTGTGTCCATGAGTTTGACAACTTCATGTAAGTGGAATCTTGCACAATTTGTCCTTTTATCTCTTATTTCACTTAGCATAATGTCCTTCAGAGTCACCCATGGTACAGTATGTGTAGAACGGTCTTTCTGTTAAGACTGAATTGCATGTGGAGACCACATTTTATCCATCCATGGGTCTTTAAACTCTTCCTTTCCACTGATTCCTCTTCAATATGTAAATGTGCCCACCATTCTCATGAATCCAAGAATATCTCAGCTCTCTCTGCCCTTGAGCTTCTATCACTTATCTTCCAAACATCCCCCTTCACCCTTATCTCCCCACCTACTACTGACTTTCCACCTACTTGAATTAGGCACTTCCCTCTGCAACTCTACCAGGCTATCCTAAAAATCACCAGTTGCCAAGTCCGGAATTATTTTCTCAGGCATTTTCTTGCCTGCAGTGTTGGATGCTGTTGACCACTGCCTCCTCTCTTCTTCCAAGGCTCATGTGGTTGGCTGCCCCACCTCTTTCTTATTTTTCACCAGTTGTTCTCTGTCCTACCCCAAAATATTGATCATTTCTCACATTCTATTTTTTAATTTTTAAAAATTTTTACATCATTGCTCATTTTTAAACAATATTTGCTTCCCCCCACCCCCCCGGTGTAGTCCCCATAGAGTTTCCTTCACCAATGCACCCGTGCACCATCACCTCAGTGCCCTGTGCTCCTCCCTCCCTCCCTCTAATCCCTCTCCCTCCTCCTCCCCTGCAGGATGTCTCTGATTTATAATTGTCTGTTTTTGCTTTGTTCTGTTATTTTTTTTTACACTGATGTCTTATTTGTTCCCCTATATTTCCGCTATAAGTGAAACCATCCAATATTTTTCTTTTTCCTTCTGGCTTATTTCACTGAACATAATTCCTTCTGGCTCCATCCATATTACTGCAAATGGCATGAGTTTATCTTTTTTGATTGCTGAATAATATTCCATTGTGTTTATACGCCACATCTTCTTGATCCAGTCATCTATTTTTGGGCATATGGGTTGTTTTCAGATTTTGCCTATTGTAAATAGTGCTACAATATACAAAGGGGCACAGGTGTTCTTTTGAATCAATGTTTCTATGTCTTTTGGGTAGATCCCTAGCAGTGGGAATTGCCGGGTTGTATGGTAGCTCCATTTTTAGTAGACTGAGGAACCTCCAGACAGCTTTCCATAGTGGTTGGACCAGTTTGCACTCTCACAAGCAATCTGCATTCTGTTCTTAACAGTTTTTTCTTTGTACTGACTTTTCCTCCTGAGTGCTTTTATTCATTTTCCAGGCTTAAATAGTCTCATCAAGTCTCTTTCTTCTGCACTGGATTAGGAACACAGTGCATTGACTATTTTTGAAATTTTTAGCAATAAAATATTTTTGAATCAGTCATCCATTTGCTTACATATTGTCTGTGACTGATTTCACACTACAATGGCAAAGTTGAGTAGTTGCAATAGAGACCTATGACCTAGAAAGCCTAAAATACTTATTCTTTGTCCCTTTATAGAAAATTTTGCTGACTTCTGATTCAGGCTAACATAGCAAACTTAGTGGCCATTGATACCTGAATTTTGTCTGCCTTTCCCAGTGCTCATATTTTCTCCCTTTTCTGATTATCACTTACCCATTCACCCAGAAATTACAGCTTCCTGCATTATGACCCCACTTCTCACATATTTCATCCCTCCCGTGCACTCCTGGTAGAAAGAAATCCACAACACTCAGCTGTTCACATACTAGCCACCATTTGTTGAGAACCTATTACGGGCCAGGCAACAAGAAAGTGGTAGTATCAGGAGTTTATTATAAGAACAGCTGAGGCCCAGTGACTAGCGCCTTGCTTGAGGCCAGCACAAGTCTAAGCAGCAAAGCTTGACTTCATGCTCAGGTTTGTCAGAAGTCTTCAGTGGGTATTCACCTGGCTTCCATGCAGTGTCCTCCTGGCCCACTTCTCCAGTTAAAGTCTTCCAGATATTTTTCCTTCAGAACCAAGCTGGGGCACAGAGTTTTCCACTGCACTCCCATGCCCTTCCCTCTGAAGGGGGAGAAGGGCTTCCCTCCTGACATACTTTCTCCCTTCCACTGAGTGTGCAGGTGTTGCTCTCTCTTCAAGTCACAGTACAGGCAATACTCTCACTGGATCACTCAGCATTGTCCCTCTCAAAACATCCCTGATGTTCTTTGTCTCCATCATTCCTTTGGCACTTAATAGTATCTTCCTTTCCTAGATCTATTCACACCATTGCTTTCCAATTAAATTGTTTGCCTCTTCAGGGCAGGAACTTAACCCCAGAATTTCCTTGCTCCCCATACATTATAGTTTTGTTAATAGTTAAGCACCTTCACCCCTGGTGATAACAGTTCCCATCGGGACTCCTGTCCTGAGTTTAGTTTGTGACTTCCATGTCTCTGGTCTTATACAACTGTCCTGCTCTCCTTTGGAAACCTGTCTATCTCTCCTTTGGAAACCTTTTGTAAGCTAATGTAAAATGCCTTCTTTCTGGACACTTACCTCTGTGAGTGAATCACGTAAAGTCCTCCACACAAAATTAATTCTTTTAAATGTTAAACTACTCTGGACTTTAACTTGCCCATGAGGCTTACTTTGAAATAGCAGGCCACTAGGCCACTCCTAGTCTTGGGCCAGTAGCTCATGCTCAAGTGAAGCTGAAGAGCTGAAGGCACCCTATTCCTTGCCTAGAATTATCTTCTTGAAAAGCTTTAAAAACCCAGCTCATTTTTCTCTGAAAGAATTTTCCCCATTTATTCTGTTGCTCATCCATGGGACATTGCTTGCGGTGCACTTTAAGCAAACAAGTAGAAAAGATGCCTCTGCAATGTAAGCCTGGTGAATACCTACAAGTTAAGCAATGTTTGTGTTTGGTACTCTGGAGAACCAGGAATCCAACCCAACTAGAAGTCATGAGTCCAGTTGGGTAATTCTAGCAGGATCTGGCCAAGTTGACCAAAAACAGCTGAAGATTTCCTACCCTAGGGGCCTCTTGGCAAGAGCATGCCCTTCAGAGAAGAGCCTCCAGAAGAGTTATCTTGTTCTCACTCACTGAATCATATTTCTTCACTTTTCCCAGCTGCTCAAAGTAACTTGATCATATTGCACACTGCTAAACTCTGACCCCTCGGGTGCCTTATTACTAAATGTCCTTCCAGATTTGGAAATTCATTTCAACATTTTCATCTTAAACCTAGTATTAATTTGCTTTATAAATGGCCTGTTCTTTTTAAGGAAATTCAAAGAGAAAGAGAGCTTTACAATTTACTTTTATCAGACTCAATTCTATGAGGAAAAGGATTTTTTAATTAAAGGGCTCATTCCCTTGGCCAGAGTGACCCTTTGAGGCTTCCTTGAAGGAGATACTCTCCCAAATTCTGACTGTGTGGTGAGCAAACCAGCAACTGGATGTCACTGGCAGTCATATATGAACTGGATTGCTGCCCACTAATACAAAAGTGGTTTGTTCACCATTAACAGAACTCACGGTACAAACAGAAAATAGTCTACATGTGGCTCTACTTATGTGCTTGTTCAAGAACAAGAAAAAACTGTGTATGCACCAGGATGAATAATTAGAAGGTCATACACCATCTTCTACTCTCTTGTTCCTCACCCCATCTGACTTTTTTTACCTTCTTTTTTGTTCTTGGAAGCAGAGGAATTTCTCCTATCTCACTTTTCAGGGTCTTTCCAATAAATGTTCCCCATCTTCTCTAAAATTCAAACGATAAGGAGCACTATGTGAGTGGCGAATACAATGAGTCAGGCTATCAACCTCCCTCATTTTGAACAATTTCCTTTTCAAAGTGCTGGCAAACAGTTTGCTGGTGATCTCAGCCCAAAGCAGCTGCCTTCTATGAGATTACTTTTCTTTTCAGCAGTGACTTTTCTCTAATTTTTTTTTTTTCTTTATTTATTTGTTTGCTTGTTTGTTTTGTTTTTGTTTATACATGCACTGGGTACAGTCAGAAGCACGGGAGGGTGAGAGAATTCACCAGAGCCAGAGCGGGGAGCAGAGCAGGCAGAAGGACCGAAGTACACTGCTGAGGGGAGCAGCGGGCGGCAGGAGAGGTCTGCGCACCATGTGGGTCCCTCCTCCGGTGGCCGGGGAGCAGCCGGGGATTGAACCGGCGCCGCAGAGGCCGCGGGCAGCTTCGCAACCCAGCGCTCTACCGCTGCGCCACCGGGGAGGCCCTCTAATTTTTTTTTTGTGTGTGTTTTTCTTCCTTTGCAGTCTTTAAAGAAGCTCAACCATGCCAATATAGTAAAATTAAAAGAAGTTATCAGGGAAAATGATCATCTTTATTTTATCTTTGAGTATATGAAGGAAAATCTTTACCAGCTCATTAAAGAAAGGTACAGTTTGGTCATAATGATCTTAGAAATAAATATTTTAAAGTAGATGTATTTTCTTTCTATTTTTGCTTAGCACAGTCATGTTGCTTAGACTTCGCTGTTTTTACTTGCCCACAGAGGAGGCACCCAACCCTCATTCCTCCTTTGGAGGCCTTGGGATAACTTCATGGAAGCTGCTTTAGTGCATATTTATGTGTTTATGGGCAATTCACCCAAAGAAGCTTAGAAATTTAACAGATACTTGGCAACTTTATTTTAGTTCCTCTTACTATAATGCCCAGGGACTTACATGCTTGGAAGAGACTTCTAAAAATGTACCTGCTATGGTAACTTTGAACCTTAAAAGTGAATCATATCGGGCCTCTTGGGCACATTTTCTTTTTTTTAATTGAAGTAAAGTTGGTTACAACATCGTGTGTGATTGAGAGGTATAAGATCAGACGTCCTCAGCTCTTGATGACAGATGAAAACCATTCATAGAATCCCTCTGGGTGATTTTAGTGAACAGATGTCATCTTCCTTGTCAATAACAGTTGGAACCTTAGGTAGTTTGCTCAACCAGGATAAAAATGTTATCCTATACTGCATTTTATGATGTCTTTATTGGGAAGACATCACATTTTCCCCATTAAACTTTTTTAAGTTTTAAATTACATAGAGAAGATATTTTTATATGATCTATTAGAGGGAATTTGAAGGGAATTTACTATAAAATGTTTATGCTTTTGTCCTTTGTGACATAATTAGATGTATTTAGTGTTCATAAGGTAGCTCTCTTAGTTGCATAAATGTTGGTTTTCTATGGTCTTTATTGTCAATGGATCTGGTCAAATTTGCATGTAAGCAAATGTTTTTTAAAATGCTTGCAATTTAACTGAAAGATCATGAGAACTGCATATTTGTTTTCATATGTAAACCTAGATGTATAACTTTTTCCTTCTGCCCCATGCAGAAATAAGTTGTTTCCTGAGTCTGCTATAAGGAATATCATGTACCAGATATTGCAAGGACTCGCGTTCATTCACAAACACGGTAGGTGATTTGGTGTACTGTGAAGCAGATGTTGCCGTCAGGTAGAAATGCTGGAAGCATCGATGCCTTTTGTAATCGATTCCCAGAAAGTGTATCTTTGTTCCCCATGCATTATAGTTTTGTGTACAATTAAGGACCTTCATCCCTGGGAATAATAGCCCCCATTGGGACCCCTGTCCCAGGTTTAGTTTGCTACTTCTGTTTCTCTGTTCTGATACAACTTTCTTGCCTCTACCTCAAGGTTGTGACCCCCACATGACCTCCTGAGGGACCTCCCACCTCCACTGGTGGGCCCCTCCATCCTGAGGCACTGGGCTCATGAGATGGGATGCCTCCAACCCCAACTGGGTCTCTGTCCAATTCTTTTTTTTTTTTAAGATTTTATTTATTTATACATACAAGCACTGGGTACAGTCACAAGCACAGGAGGGTGAAAGAATTCACCAGAGCCAGAGCGGGGAGCAGAGCAGGCAGAAGGACCGAAGTACACTGCTGAGGGGAGCAGCGGGCGGCAGGAGAGGTCTGTGCGCCTTGTGGGACGCTCCTCCGGTGGCCGGGAGCAGCCAGGGATCGAACCGGCGCTGCAGAGGCTGCGGGCAGCTTCGCAACCCAGCGCTCAACCACTGCACCACCGGGGAGGCCCTCTGTCCAATTCTTAACAAAGATTACTAATACCTCTGATATTTGCTAGAAAGTACAACCTCAAACTCATTGCTACTCAATACCTTTCAGTGGCTCAGCTCAGAACAACACTAGTGACGGCGGTTTTCCTGAGGGGATGCCGTCATCTGTTCCTTTAGGTGTTCTTGATCTCTCTTTGGACTAACCAGATCTTCCCTAGAGCGAATCACACTGAGCCGCAGTAAGTCTGTTCTCTGTGATGGGATTGACAATGGATTTTGGAGTGTGTTATGGTCTATACTAGACTTCTGAATTTCTTTCACTATGTATCATGTCCATGTATTCTTATTCTTTAGGTGTTAACATTAAGTTTAATAGTTACAAATCTAGGAGCTATTCCTGGCCATAACTGGCATATTAATGAGAAACCTAAGACTAGGATTCAGGGAAATTTCATTTACTACATTCACACAGTTAACTCTTACACTGCTTTTCTGTAGCATCTCATATTACTAATGTATTTATATTTCAATGTGTTCAAAAGGATTTTAAAATGGTCTAACAAGATTTATACAGCACAGGAAAATTAAATAAAATTAGCAAAGGAAAAAGGGCACAGGCAAAAAATGGTGTGGATATAACCATGTGTAAGGTCAGGCCCCAAAAGGCATGTCAGAAAGCTTTATTTAAGTAGAGGAAGTAGGTTACAGGTTTGAGTCTGAGCTGTTAGACAATGCAAGATGCGAGACAAGCCAGTCACAACTTACATAGTGTCCCTGAGATGAAAACAGACCAGTTGCACAAAAGAAGCAACATTATTCTTTTTTTTAAGATGTGTTTATTTATGCATACAATAACTGGGGTACAGGCTAGAGGTGTCGGGGTGAGAAGATTCACTAGAGACAGAGTGGGGAACAGAAGAGGCAGAGTGACTGAAATACACTGCTGAGTGGAGCAGCAGGCAAGTCAGGAGAGGTCTGCTGTGTCATGTGGGTAGCCCCCTTGCCGGGGATTGAAGTAGTGCTGAAGTGGCTGCGGACAGCTTCATAGGTTGTGTCTCAACCCCTTGTGCCACCAGGGAGGCCCAGCAGCATTATTCTTGATCCTGAGACCAGAGAAGTTTCTCTCATGGATGCTGGAAGAGGGGACAGTACATAATGTGATTTCATGGTAAACACAGTGACAGCTGACATATGACCATTTCATACCATATCCCTCCATACCGACCAATTAAATCGCTTGGTGGAGAAAACAGATCTATAGCAGCTCCATGTGATCCACTCTAGGGATACTCTGGTTAGCCCAAAGAGAGATCTAGACCATCTAAAGGAACAGATGACCTTATCCCATCAGGAAAAGCTCTGTCAATTGTGTTGTTCTTAGCTGAGCCATTAAAAGGTATTGAGTAGCAATGAGTTTGAGGTTGTACTTTCTAGCAAGTATCAGAGATATTGTTAATCTTTGTTAAGAATTGGACAGAGACCCAGTTGGGGTTAGAGTTACCCCTTCTCATGAGACCAGTGCCTCAGGAAGGAGGTATCCACCAATGGAGGTGAAAGTCCCCTCAGGAGGTCATTTGAGATCACTTAAACACAGTGATACTAGAGAAGGGAGAAGTGACTGATGTTACGCAGGCAGAAATCCATGTACTCCCAGTTTATTGTTGCCCTTGCAACATTGCACTGACCGATGACCTTCATTACCCAATAACAAAATTGGCTGGAAACCCTCTGATAATACAGTCAGTTCAGATTTGAATCAAATTGGCAGCAAGGACAAAAGAGATTGTTCTACTGACAGGGGACATGGTCATTCCCAGCCTGGAATTGTTTAACCCTACGTAGCCCCTCACAGTTAGAGACTAAATGAAACTAAGCAAACAGACAAACAGAGGCTGCCTGTGCAAAGCCTGTCAGCCTCAGGTGCATGCTGAATCATCAGCTGTAACATGTCAGACTGAATTCTAATAAAGAGTTTTTAGTAAAAGGTATCTCTGATTCTGCTGACATGGACAGACCCAGCACTTCAGCCTAACCTCAAGAACTCATAAGAGATGCAATGAATTTGCAAAACATGAAAAAGTTCTGGTGTGTTGTCTCAGGGGCAAATGGGAAGAGAAGGATCACTTACTAGATTGAAGAGCCCAGGAAATAGAAATGATATGAAACCAAAGGGCTTCTCAATAGAAAAAGATCAAACATATGTTTTCAGACAGTGTCACATTTGTGCAGGTGATTTGCTCAGCACAGGAGGCTGAGTAGTAGACTTGAAAGAAAGTCTAATGTTAATGTTCTTTGACTTTCTTTGACTTTCTGTTCTTTTCCTTTTTGTTGCTTTTTATGAGACTCAGATATTTGGTAACAGAAAGAACTTGTATACATTATCCAGGAATCTACCTAATCCCATCAGGTGGATGCATGCATGTACACAGACCCTCATACTTGTGCAAACTCGTGTCTGTGTACCATACCCATGTGCACTGTACCCATGTACACACCTCTCCCCCCACGCCCACAAATGCATATTTATACCCACACACACACAGTGCATATTTGTATCCAGTAGTTCAACATCCATCTACTATTGCATCAAAACAGCCCTTTTTGGGGTGTGAACTCTGCACACCTTACACACTGGGCTGTGTATGGTTGTGTAGGGAAGCAGTGCCAGGGAAGGCTCAGTTAATGTCTGAGGTTGGACCACCTTTGTTTTTATAAGCCCAGCACCACTGCTGTTTTCCCCAGATGTTAAGCACCTTCTTCTAATTTAAGCTTAATAATATTTCATCTCTTGCCTGATTTATTTCCTTGCCAATTTCTAAGGTAGAAAGAATAAATGTTATCTATTCCTTTCAAAGAAGAGGAAACTGAGCTTCAGAGAGGTTTAAAGACCTGCCAAAGGCCCCACTGTACTAAAGGGGTGGAGCAGGGATTAGCTCAAATATTTGTGACCATTTGCCACATGTGACTGTTCTCAATGAGAATAAAAGGTGAAGAAAATAGCAGTGATAAGTGCAGGTGGGATGGGCATTCATGTTCTAGGTCCTATCACATTTTCATAGGTAAGTGATTTTTGGAAACTTTAATGGTTTTTATATGGCATCAACTTGATTTTGGTTAAATACAAGTGTAATTTCATATTATTCCTTTCCTCCAGTAATGGGAGAAAATAATCCAAAGCACTTCACAGATTTATCTTGTGAGTTTCAGGCTCTTCGCTGTTAGCTGGTCCTCACTGTGAGAAGGTGCAGGCTGCCCCTTGGGAGTAGACTCCTTTGAGAGGGAGAAGAGCGTTGCAGGTAGTTGCTATGGCCATAGTTCATGTCACTGAGTACTTCCTCCCCCCCACAGGGAATGAAAACACAACTCAACTTGGTACTGACTGAGTAATGCCAAAGCGTGTGTACTTTGTAGCAATTAAATAATTAATGCAAACCTGCCCTTACAAATATCTAGCTCATACTTACTTGTGCAGATGATCAGAAATGCATTTGGTGACTTGCAGGACAATGTCTAGCCCCAAGAGGTGGTTCTCTACTTCTCTGTTTCACCATTGTCTTGCTCTGCATGACCTTGAAACAGCCCTTGGCCTTTCTGTATGTTGCTATCCTTGTAGCCTTGATGAAAACTGTGAGTCTAAATTCAGTAATAATCTGAGAAATGACAAATTCCATCGCAGGACGGTGTGCTGCATAAATTCCTAGTGTTTAAAGAATTCTCTGGCTATGTCCATATATAACAGAATGTGGTGGAGGGAAGAAAACCTTCTTTGTACCCTGATGTTTTCCTTGCCCAAGGGTTGTGAATGAAGAGTAAGCACAACATATTTTCTGCCAGGGTGAAAGAGAAAAACCCTCTGTTATTCAACTGGCATGGAGTATGTTGAAATTAAATTAAAGGTCTGTTCCTCTCTTCTGAAAGCCCATTTTGAACAGGAAGATTCTAATCTTAACAACACTTTGCTGTGCAGGGTCTCTGAATGAGGGTTTCCATTGTGTGTCTGGAGCCCAGAGGAAGAAGTCGCTTCATTGTCACAGCTCCAGTACACTGATTGGCAGAACGTGTACCCAGCCAGGAATCAGATCAGAGCTTAGCACCCTCTCCTTGCAGGTGGAGCAACAAAACTAGCCTCACAAGCCTTAATTCTTTTTTTTTTAATTTAAATTTTATTTTTATATTCCCCATACAATTACAACCCCCTTATTTTGACCCCAAGTCCTCCTTTTCCCGCCCCCCAACCCCCATAGAGAGTCTCTTGTTCATAGTTATTTGTTGATTTTGGTATTTTCTTTCTTATAGTTATTCTTTTTCCTGGTCCCTTATTTAAGTTTTCTAGATTGCTTCTATGAGTGAGACCATCCGGTATTTTTCTTTTTCTTTCTGGCTTATTTCGCTGAACCTGATCACTTCCAGCACCATCCATGTTGCTGCAAATTGCATGTGTTTATCTTTTTTGAATGCTGAGTAATATTCCATTGTGCATATGTACCACATCTTCTTGATCCAGTCATCTATTTTTGGGTTGTTTCCAAATCTTAGCTATTGTAAGTAGTACAAGCCTTAATTCTTATATGCAAAAGATGGAGCTGTGTCTGCTTGCCCTCCAGGAAGGATAAATTGAAAAGACTCATGGCTGCTAGTAATGACAGTCTCTTGCAAGGTGCCAGTTACCAAGCACTGCTCTAAAGACTTTACAAATATTACCACACTCTCCTGCAAAACATCCTCAGGAGCTAGATGTGGTTATTTCAGCGTTTTACGGATAAGGAAAGTGCAACACAGAGAGGTTAGGTGATTTTCCAGCCAGTGAACAGCATTGGGATTTGAAATCAGGCAACCTGATTGGTCTGCACACTTAACCACTGTACTGTATTGTCTCTTATATGGAAATGGCAATGTTTTGTTAAAATAGAGGTGAAAAGTGAGTGTGCCTGATGTTGAGGGTCTTCTACTTTTAGTTACCGAGGAGTAGAACTCATGGGTATAAGACTAACAATAGCTATTGTTATTATTCGTTAATGAAAGGAACAGAAAGATAAATAGTCTATAAACATATTCATGAATGCTGCTTAGTTACAAAGGCTTATACTTGAATCTAATATATAGACAACGTATGTCAAACTGACAAATACAGTTTTTATCAGTCAATGCTAAGTCTGTTTGCAATAAATTTTTTCCTAGCCATTTTCTCTCTGATAATTTGTTTTGGGCCAAAAGCATGATTTCTATAAAAGGGACCTGAACCAGAATTCTCATTCTCCTCATTTCACTAGTGCACATGTGCTGTGTGGAAGTAGAATTCAAGAAGGGTTAGCAGTGAGGGAAAGAATAAAGCTTGACTGGTGGGAGGAGTTGATTGGTGTTGACAGGAGTGTGACTTCAGGGTGGGAAGAGACGGGGTCTGGAATGAAGAATACTGCAGGTATCTGCATGTATCTAAGTACAAGGGACATGAGGATGAACTGACCAGGGAGAAAATGCAAGTTTGTTGCGGTAGATGTTCTAGATGGTGCTAGGGAGAGCTTGCAATTAGGCTTGAGACTGCAGAGAAATGACTCATTATAAAAGAAATGCCACATTAGTTTGGAAATAAGTTAGCCCAACTAGAAGAAAAAGAGGAGCCTCAGAGGAGAAACAGCATTAATGCAGACTTGAGAGGATCAGAGCTACAAATCAAGATGTAGCAATTTGGACTGAGAGGGACAGACAATAGCCCTGACATTTCTTGACAGGATTGTGAATAATTCATCTACCTCCGCCACATGACTCACTCTCTCCATCTGTTCAATAAGAAAATGATATCTACCATTTCTCTGTTCGCTGGTGTGTTTTTAATGCTCTGAGTTTTTAAGAAGAGACCAGAGTCTCACAGTTTATATATTTTCATGAGCCATGGGAGTCTTCCTAGATGCATTAACATACAATCCCTCTCTAAAAATTGTTTGTGTCTTTATACATTCTTAAGTTAATTCCAGAATGGGAGCATGCTCAGAAGAACAGCGGGTCCAAGCACAATGACTCAGTTATGAGTCTGAGAACAGGTATTGCTCACTCTAGTGGGCACTGACAATCTTTATTTAATGAGGTTGATAATAAGCCATTCAGATTTACCCATATCCAAAATTCTTTTTTTAATTTAAAGTCTATTTTTTACTAATATTGAATATTTTTTTTAATTTTTTGAGTTGACAATCTCAAGTCTGGTTATTATAACATGGGTTTAATGTATTATTAATTTGTTTAGGATAGTGAAGGAGTTGGTATGAGGAAGGTCATTAGGTATAGATTGGTACAATGGCAGGATAAAGAATGAATCAATGATATCTATCTAGCTATCTATAGAGAGAGATAAACACACTTCACACACACATATGTAAATGCAAATACACATACACACATATGCACACACACATACATATGCTATGAAAATAGCAAACTCACTGTGCCTGACTTTGGTCTTACCTAGATCTGACTAGACCCTCAACATCAGATCTTTGATCTTTTCAATGCTTTGATTATGAAAAATCAAAGCAACATATTGATGGGAAGGAAATATTTCCTTTTCTCACTTGGGACCCTCTGAATATGTGTGATTACTGTTGTACCTTTAGTCCCTCCTATGTGCTCTGTAATAACATTCACTTTGTCCATCTTAGTCAGCCATTCACCTTGCACTCCCACCATTACACCATAATACTATCCATTTGGAACTGGACGGCATACTAAGCCCTGTTGTCTTCACACTGATAAATAAACAAATTTCCTTCTATTAAAACATTGTTGCTTTCCATAAGATATGACTTCATATGTTACAACATTTCAAACACCCTCCCCTTCCTCTATAACAGAGAGCGGTTTTGATGGGTAGATTTAGTGCTGCTAGAATCCCTCTGTGATGAGGATTCCTGCTCTGAGCCCTCTATCTCTCCCACAGTACTCCGTGGTCATTGTTCTCTCCCAATTCTCAGTTGCTGTCTTGGGAGGCTTCCTCCCTCCCACCTACCCTTGCCTACTTGCCCTTCACCATTAAGCTCTTTCATGTTCCCTATAAACTTATTGAAGTTCTCTGTTCAGTCAATAACAGGATAGAATTATGAGGCCACCATGTCCTGCCACTAGGATAGGCATTCAAAGACATGCAAATTGGCCTTTACTCTTAACTCTGTCTAATTAACGATGTTTGACATACCTGAAAATGGTAGAGCTCCGCTCAGATTCAAATAGGAGGGCCTACTGTCCATCTGGGCAAAAACTATGCTCATTTATGTTGCTTGTGAATGGTTGGAACCTAATCCAACACTCCGCATGGAGGGGACCCTCAGTAAACATTCGTTGGAAGAGTGAATGAATGAATGAAAACTAGCATATTAGAATAGGTTCATGGAGGAAGCCAAAACAGAAACCCCAAACAGATCTTGAAGGATGTCAAAGATTGGATTTGATTAGACAAAAAAGAATAAGGATGCCAAATTCTAATGGAAATAACAGTGATCCTAAAGGAGAGGGGGAACTTGATCTAATTAGAGTACACTTCACACGTATTGATAGCTACTGGGAAATAAGTTTATCTCCTTAGGTATGCTGATAGGAGTTCAGCTTGTTAAATAAATTGAAAAGGAAATTTTTCATGTGGGAGAATGGAAGATTTTTCATGTCAATGGATTTTGAAGACAATAGAAAGATAGTGTTTAAATTACTAGGATGTATGGAAATCCAGAGACACTAGAGTGAGGAAGGCCTACTAGAAAGTTGTAATGCAGGGATAGGTGATGAGAGCAAGGATTTTGGAAGGGTGAGTGAGAATGGACTGAAAAAAATAGTCATAAGATATTTTGATGAAAAGTATGACACAATTTCATGGGAAGAATGGATCTAATGTAGCTACAAGGAGCCTGGGTATCTTATCAAATATTTGGGAAGGAGAGATTAGTTGGGAAAAGAGAAAAGTGGTTTGGGACAGGCTGGTATGGGATAACAGTGACACCCAGCTCTGATCATATCAGAGGTGCAGGTCTAGAGAAGCTTGCAGAAGGCATTATCAACACAGGGGGTGTCAAGGAAGAGTATAGGTCTTCAGGGTTAGCTATTCGCTTCTCCCACTGTGTGCTAGTTAGAATCCAGCTTTCATAACATCAGTAGCAATGGCTCATAACAGATAACACCATCAGCAGCATGTGTTGCGCTATATTTTCAGCTTCAGGGTCCCAGTACAATTAAGGGCCATGTAGAATGATGTCTATGCCAGTGATACTCTGCACGTGGCAGGTTTCCCTGTTCCCAGAGGCACATAGCTCAGAAGTTGTGTGTTGAGTATGTCCTGCATGCACCCCCAAAACTCTGCCTTAGCTAAACCAGCGTTCCCATGGGATGAATTAGCTTTGCCTTTCACTGTGTGAGCCTCGGCTGTGACTCTGTCGTTTTTGATTAGCCAAAACAAACACATTTAACATTTAAACAGTTGTTGCAACACACACCAGGATCTCAGATATGAATAGGTCACATTCATAAATTCTGCTCTTCTTTAAACAGAAATTGTAATTGTGTTTCTGCTCTGGTAAACTCGCAGATAAATAAGACTATTGTTTTTTGAAATGTTTTTAATCCCAAATCTGGCTGCCTTGGGCAAGGTAGGCATGGAATCTTTTCCTTGAGTGGTGATTTCTTTCTCAACATAATCTTAGGCCATAGCTGAGTTTTAAAAGACGTATTTTAGGGCCTTCCTGGTGGCTCAAGGGGTTAAAACGCAGCTGTGAAAATATCCGCAGCCCCCTGCAGCATGAGTTCAATCCCCAGCAGGCCAGGGAGCAAACCCACATGGCACAGCAGACGTCTCCGGTCTCACCTGCTGCTCCCCTCAGCAGTGTATTTCAGTGGATCTGCCTGTTCTGCTCCCCACTCTGTCTCTGGTTATCCTCTCACCCCCTATACCTCTGGCCTGTACCCCAGTTCTTGTATGCATAAATAAATAAATCTTTTTTTAAAAAGAAGTGTTTTAAATAGTTAAGTATTATACATATTTTAAAATAATGTTTCTCTCTTGGGGAAAAATAACTATGAAAATCAACTTTTGATGATTTTACATTTTGCATCTATCAGAGGGAAATGGAGTTCTGTGCCTAGAGCCTTCATGTCACCCCAGACTACCTGGGGTGCCAAGAGCAGTACAGCTACCAAGGATGATGCAGAAGCAAGCTTGCATTTGTATTCCTTCTCCACTGTCTCCACAGGCTTCTTCCACCGGGACTTAAAACCTGAGAACCTCCTCTGCATGGGACCAGAACTTGTGAAAATTGCAGACTTTGGATTGGCCCGAGAGATCCGATCAAGACCTCCATATACAGATTATGTATCGACCAGATGGTAAATACAGCTTTCCTCAAAATTATCTGGTTACACTTCTTTAGAAATATTCCATCGTGCTGAGGGAATATTAATGTCACAAATATTAACCTTTCACTAAGAGAAAACAGTAGTTTGAGTCTTATTTGTAAGCCAGTTGGCATTCTACACAGTTAAAAACTGTGGCATTTTAGAAGAGTCCATTATGCTTTTCCATAATGTAAGTATATTTTCTTCATAGCCCTTCCTGAAAACTATTGCCCCAAAGAATTGTGTAAAAAGATTCTCCAAAGACCTAATTGCGATTGTTCAAATTTTCAGACCCTAAGGATTTAAGCAGTTGGCTGCAATCAAGAAGTAGCCTGCAGACAACACGCTTTACTTTCTCTTTCATTCTTTTTCTTTTATAACTTTTTTTTAAGATTTATTTATTTATTTGTTTGTTTGTTTATTTATACAAGCACTGGGTACAGTCAGAAGCGCAGGAGGGTGAGAGAATTCACCAGAGCCAGAGCAGAGAGCAGAATAGGCAGAAGGACCGAGGTACACTGCTGAGGGGAGCAGCGGGCGGCAGGAGAGGTCTGCGCGCCAGGTGGGACCCTCCTCCGGTGGCCGGGGGGAGCTGCCGGAGATCAAACAGGTGCTGCAGAGGCTGCAGCAGCTTGGCAACCCAGCGCTCAACCGCTGCACCACCGGGGAGGCCCTCTCTCTCATTCTTTTTCCCTCTCTTTCACTCTCTCTAACTCTCATGCTCACGGTCTGTGTTTCTCAAACATGCTGTAGAGGACTGTCCTGTGGAGAATTGCTCAGTGGAAAATATTGGGAAATAGAACACTGCTTTCTTTTTTTTCCCTCAAACTTTATCCATGTGCCCATCACTTGCATATCTACATAACTTAAGGTACATTTCCTCACCTTCATAGCTGCACATGCTTCATGCACTCTCCACCCAAACTCTCACGCAAATGTCTTTCCCCTTCCTATTCCTTTCCCCTCTTCTTCCCCCATTCCCTCCTGTAACCAATGTATTTTTCAGAGTCAGAGAATTATTTTTGCTGTTCTTTCCCAATTTGTATTCTTTGGTTAATTTATATTCCAAAAATAATCACCTCAAGATCTGTTCATTTTGTCCTCAAAAGGCATGATTTCGTCCTTTTTAATAGTTGAGTAGTTTTCCATTGAGTATACATAGTTGCCTGCCATTGGGCACTTGGTTTGGTTTCATAATTTGGCTATTGTGGACTTAGCAGCTGTGAACATAGGAATGCATGTATCTTTTCATATTAGAGTTTTCATATTTATTGGGTAAATACCTAGCAGTGGTGCTGCTAGGTCAGATAGCACTATTTTCCATAGAGGCTGCATCAAGTTACATTTCCACCAACAGTGCAAGAGTATTTCTTTTTCTCTACACACTTACCAACACTTGTTTTTCTCCATTCTTTTTGATGTAGGATATTCTCACAGGGTGAGATGGTTTTGATTCGCATTTCCCTTATAATAAGATGTTGAATCTTTTTTCATGTGTCCATAGATCATTTGAACGTCTTTTTTGGAGAAGTGCCTACTTAGGTCTTTTGTGCATTTCTTGATTGGTTTGTTTTTATTGTTTATTGAATTGTATGGGTACATTGTAGTTTAGAAAGTAAACCCTTGTCAGACACATAATGTGCAAATATGAGAAGCACTGCTCTCCAGAGCAATTATGGCACTTGCCAAGTCTTTGCAAGTCTGTGTACCACACTAAATGAGACCAAAGTAGTAGAAATACATGAGTTCTCTCACTGAGCATTGATAAATAAATATAACTTCTGGTTGGCAGAAGTAATAACTAGCAGTTCACTTTGTCCCTCCAGGTACAGGGCCCCAGAAGTGCTCCTGAGGTCCACTAACTACAGCTCCCCCATTGACGTCTGGGCCGTGGGCTGCATCATGGCGGAGGTGTACACCCTCAGGCCACTCTTCCCTGGGGCCAGTGAGATTGACACAATCTTCAAAATTTGCCAACTGTTGGGCACACCGAAAAAGGTAATGACACAGAACAAAGTGTAAACAGAAAGCAGCACGTTCTCAGCCTCCCTCTTCCCTACTCCACACACTGGCACTGTCTATCAGCCTGCTCATTCTGGAATCTTTCTCTCCACCCCACGATCCTCCATGTTCACAGACCTGGTCTCTTCTCTCCTCCTTCCACACTTCAGAATATTTTCCCTCTAGAGTTCTCTTTGCAACTTTTCACCTGCCTTACAGAGCATCTCTTTTCTCGTGGCTATAACTCTTCATCTATTCAGAAGTCTCCTCCTAGATATCATCTGTAACCCTAACTTGCCTCCATCACTCATTCCCAAATTTACCACTATGTGAGATTTTCTCCTGACTTTCTCACCATCATCTCAAACTCACATGTCTAACACAGATGACCTTTTGTTTACCTTCTAACTGAACTCGTTCTTTCATTCTGTTTTCCTGTAAGATCCCATCATAATCCCAGAGCCCAAGCTTTGAGGCTGAGTTTCAGTTTTATCTCCTCTTTTTCCCTTACTCCTCTCCCTCCTTATCCAAGCTGTTGGTCCATAAATCCTGTTGACGGTCACCACATAGTGTCTCGCATGCTGCCCTACTCGTTGAATTTCCACCACCACCATCACAGACTGCCCACCACTGGGGGATCTTTTCCATCTTTCTGCCTTCAAGTCTTTTCCTCCAGCTTATCTTTCATCCTGCAACCAGAGTCATCCTCCTATAAAGAGCAGCTCTGGTACTGTCTTCACTTCTTAAAGTCTTTCGTTGACTCCTCTTTACCCAGCCCCTCAGCTTTCATTCCTTACCCCCACTTTGTACCTGAACCATCCTGGCTTGTGCCCAGGAATCTTCCCGCTGCAGTGCTCTGTGTAGGCAGACTCTGCTGGAATGAATGTCTCATGTGGTCCCTCAGTAATGCTTCTCTTCTCTGTTCCTCTAATCTCCTCTCTGTTTTCAGCTGTGTTCTGTGCTATTAATATAATTATCTGTGCACGTATCTGTTTCCTGGACCATACACTCACTCTGGACAAAAATTTATCCAGTTTATTTGTGTTTAATTTTCTAGGTCCTAGCACCATTGCTGATTTGAACAAGACCCTGAAAAATTTTAAATCATTTGAATGAATCATTAAGGTCACTTCTTCATGAAGAGTTCCAGTCTCCTACTGGGGTCTCTCCCTCCTTTGGACACCTGTATCTGTGTCTCTTCTGTCGCTTTGTTCTTTGTGTGACTGTGCTTTCAAATGAGTGGCTTATTTTCTCTTTTGGACAGTAATATCATTAAGGCCAAGATTTATATTGGATTATTTTTGGATACCCAACAACACCAAGCACATAGTAGGCACTCAGTAACTATCCATTATGTGAATGAATGACATAAGCTACACATAGCATCAGAATGTGTTTTGTCAAATAGTAGAATGTTGAAACTAGAAGGGACTTTAAAGATTATTTATGTCTTACTTTCAGTCATTTTCACGCTGGCATTTAGTGTCCCCTGTGTATGAAGAAAATATGGAAAACTTGAGACTAGAACAGCTTTCTTTACTGCTGAACTTCTCCACATGTATATTTTGAATCATCTAGGGTTTCATAAATTTATTTTTTTTTTATTCTCTCCCCCCCCCCCCAAACATATCATTTGCAGCTTCTACAATCTCCATCTCATGGAACACAATTGGGAAAATATTAATTTGATTCAACCCCAAATGTCAGAGGTGAAGTATCTTCTGTTAAGGTTATAAACAAAATGGTAACACATCCAGTGTCTTTTCCACTATTCCCCAGAATTCATGTTCTTTGTCATCTCTCCATTAGCTTCCCCCTGCCTATCACACCCAGCGCCAAGGTAGTGAATGTGGGCGTGGATGGAAATGACATGATTGCCTTTATAGTCTGAGCACACATGCCTGAATATAAGCTCCAAGCATGGTGACTGAGCAAGACTTTCTGTCTTCTCCTTTCAGACTGACTGGCCTGAAGGCTACCAACTGTCAAGTGCTATGAACTTCCGCTGGCCCCAGTGTGTACCCAATAACTTAAAGTCCCTGATCCCCAATGCTAGCAGCGAAGCGATTCAGCTCCTGAGAGACATGCTTCAGTGGGATCCCAAGAAACGACCAACAGCTAGTCAGGTTTTCTTCCATTTTCTCTGTTTGCTGCATTTCTTATGAAACTCATATCTGACTTTGAATAGTTTATATAAATCTCATTGAAAGTATTTGATTTGGTATTATGAATGAAAAATATAAGAGCTAAGAATTAAAATAGTTTGAAACTTGCTGTATATAGTTAAAGTGGTTAAGCTTTAAACAATATTGGCATAAAATTCATGTGATGCATAACCGTATTTACATACACACACACACACACATACACATGTAGCAGGTCTTTGAATAACATCGTTTTGTTATAACTTGAAAAAAGGGAATCTGGCCAACATCAAATGAACTGGCATTATTCAAGGACTTGCTTTCATTACGTGTCATTGCACTTAAAGCCACAGTTTCCAAGAACCTATGGATGATGTCATGAGGACTTATTTTGTGTGGAAATGAAAATGACCAGATACATCTACCTCTCTTTGGAGAGTGTGATCAAATACATTCTCTATGAGTTAAGGTTATATAGCAGTTTGTTTATTAGGTAATACAAGTTGTTGAAATGCAATTTGAAAATATCTTGTGAGCTCCAACAGGCTCATTTTACAGACAACATAAAGAGAGCGGCAGATGGGGTAGAATGAGGATAATAACTATAATGAGCTTTGTGTAGCACTTTACAGTTTGCCAATGCTTTAGAAGGTTTTTTTGTGATTTTCATCTTAAGAACACTACACGAGACAGATTTTACTGTTTTCTTTTATAAATGAGAAAATTGAATCTCAGAAAGTTTAAGTGATTTGCCTTAATCACTCATTTATAACTAGTGTAGATTATGCAACCAAATGCAAGTCAGTCACACAGATGGCAGGGTTTTTTACACCACACCGTCTGTTTTCTCAACCACCCTCTCCCAGGCCACTTTGCAGACTATAAAATGCATCCAGAAGAGGTAAGATAGTGCTCTGGGCTTCATCTACTCCTAGCCTCCTATGCACTTCCTTTTGCATTTAGCTGTTTCTCGCCCTTCTCACCTCATTGACAATTACATTGCTCGGGGAATGAAAAACTTGACCAGTTCTAATCAGTGACAATGATTTGGCTAAGTGAAAGTGACAGGGACATTTGAAGACAGTGCTGATGTGAAGTTAGAATGTGTAAGAGCTAGGGCGGTGATTAATTGGGGCGGTTTAAGGAATTATAGAAAAGCAGCTTTGCAAAGAAGAAAGGCCCATAATTGGGTGCCACCAGACTCTGGATGACTTGATGCCTGGAAAGCTCTCAGAAATATACCTCTGATGTTTTCAGGGCAAGAAGGAAGCTTTCTGGTGAGTCCAGTTTTTTTTTTTAAGGATACGCACAAGAGATGAAAAGAAAAGGGTTTGTTATAAGAAACCAAGAGGAATGTTTGCTTTTTAAGAATAGTGTCAGAAAAGCTACAAAATCCCTCCCACCTATTGTTAATTACAATAATACCTGGAACTATAGACAAGTTAGATACCAGGGTCCAGGGCCTCCACCAGAGCCTCTGTATCTCCACTTACATATAGATGTTTATGACTATGCTAATAGGTAAGGTTATGTTATAGTCAATGACTTCCATTCAAAAAGACTAGAGAACATTTAAAAATATTTTTTGAAATATTTAATATTTAAATATTAATATTTAATATTTAAAATATTTAATTTTAAATATTTAATATTTAAAAATATTTTTTTTTAATTGTAAACCCCAGTACTTTTTAAGATTTATCTCTTGGCAATCCAGAAAACTTGTCTATTCAGAGCAATTGACAAAGTTTCATTGTCAGTTCTTCAAGACAAGGCTTAATTTTATCATTTATTGCACTCTTGGCATTTCTGGGGTAAATCATATTTTATATTTGATTCTTCAGAATTCACCAGCAGCATTATATATCACTCTCAGGCTTATATTATTTTTTCTTTTTTCTATGGAAGGAAGAAATGGGCTTAGAAAGGTGAAAAATCATATTTACGAGACAAAGCAGGTAAGTGACAAAGCCAGGATCTGTGTTGAACCAGATGATATTTCAGAACTAGCAATGGTAATAGTACCATAACTGGCTGCTTTAGCCAAATAACTTTAAGTATTATAACCAGTACCTACATTTTACAATATTTTAGGTAGGGAAAAGCAGAAGCCATGTTACAGATTCAGGATGCTGTTATGTGGTTCATTTGGGTTAAGAAACTATGGTAGGGGCCTCCCTGGTAGCCTAGGGGATAAGTCTCAGTGCTGTCACTGCTATGGCTTGAGTTCGATCCCTGGCGAGGGAGCTAACCCACGTGGGGCAGCAGACCTCTCCTGTCTCACCTGCTGCTCCCCTTAGCAATGTATTTCAGTAAATCTACCTGTTCCGTGTCCCACTCTGTCTCTGGTAAATCCTCTCACCCTCTACACCTCTGGCCACACCTCAGTTCTTCTGTGCAAAAAAAGAAAAAGAAAGAAAACTATAGTAAACTGGTCACATGATATACAATCTGTGAGCCTGATGGTGTTTACTTCCCTGCCTAGACATTTCTTCTAAAGCAGCCTCATGTGTCATTGCAGGCGCTTCGATATCCTTATTTCTACATTCGGCACCCACTGGGCTTCAGTACACAGTGCTTTCAGGACTCAGAAAAATCACAGAAGGATGTCCTGGAAAAGGCAGGCCTACCTCCTCACATGAAGCCAGTCCCTCCTGCCCAACCCCCAACCAAGCCCCACATGCGGATTTCTACAAGACAGCATCAAGCCAGCCAGCCCCCTCAGCAGACTGTATACCCCTATAAAGCAGAGGCCTCCAAGACAGATCACGCAAGCCATTTTGCAGAGGACAAGCCAAGCTTGTTGCTTTTCCCATCCCTTCACACCAAGAATCCTCAGTCGGTAAGCAGTGAAGATTCAACAGGGAGCCTTGTGCCTGGCCTGTTCCTCTTCTGACCCCACTATTATTGTGTGAAATATTTTCTTTTTTCAACATATAAGGTCTACTTAAAATAGATTTTTCTTTGCCATATTATGGATTTGTGAAAAGTGCCTTCGCTTAGCACTTGAAGCTCCAAGTCCACATTCTGGTTCTATTTATTAACAATATATTCATAGCGGGGTCCTTGTGATGAGCAGCTGTCATGTGCGGGCAGAGAGCTGGATGCTGCAGCCAGATTGTCAGGTTCTCAGATCTCAGCTCTGCTTTTTAAGAGCTGGAAGAACCTGTGAAAGTTACCTGGCCTCTCTGCTCCTCATTGTAGAATAGAAATAATAAGAGCAACTACCTGAATTTTTTTGAGGACTAAATGAGTTCGTACTTGAAATAAGTTAGAATGGTAACCGGTGCCTCGTTAGAACTCCATAAATGTTAGTCATTATTATTTTTAATCTCTCTGGACTCAGTTTCTTTATCTATAAGAGTATAATACCCATTTTGCCCACCAGACTGGGCTGATTGTGAGGATGAGAAGTCATGTTTTTGAAAATCATAACATGCCACACTAACCTTTGTAGATTGTTATTCTGTCAGCGCTCTCAGTAGATGAATTAATGCTGAGCTGTTAATTGAGCTCACATCTTTCTCCTCTCGGACTGGTGCTCAGAAAGAAACAATGAGTGTTAGAGTTTACAAAATGACAGCCTGACAAGGGAGTCTAATTGCCATTAGCTTTGTAAGGCTGTTTGAAGAGTGTGATTTTCTAACACACCTTTGTGCCAAAGCAATACTTTTTTTTTTTGTTGTCTAGCATCCAATCAATCACCGAGTGGTGGCTCGCAGCTGCACAGTGGGAGAAACTGCATTGTGAAGTTGCAAGAGTAACTCTGGACTGTTCATTTTGCCCCAGTCCAAGACTTGGAAGCGATATTTGGAAGTTACCTACTGTAATTAATTCTGAATTTAAGAGATAGGATCTGGGTCTACTAAGAAGGCATTGTAGGGATTGTTTGCATATGTTTTCTGTAAAAGTGGGATGACAAGCAGCTATAAGTGCTTCTATATTTATGATCGTATACATGTATTAACTCTTTTAGGGATGAGCATCTAATCATCTGTCTAGTATGTAAGAAGCACCTTGAGTCTCTTTTTTAGAAGTCTTACCTTATGCAACCTAGTGCCCCCATTGGATGAAAACCAGTGTGTCCCTCAGGCTCTGTGAGAGGACGTGGTCTGGGGGTGTGCTGTGCTTTCACCTGAGTCACGCACAGTGGGAATGATGTGCCCAGGTTCCTTTTCATAACTGGGAAAATTTGCAATGGGAATTACTTTAATGCTAAGTACTGTTTTTCCTTCCTCTCCTTGTATACACAGAATATCCTAGCTGACCTGGTGCACAAATACAGTGAGATCAAGCCAAAGAGTAGGAGAAGGTGGGGCCTCATTTCCAGGTCAACAAAGGATTCGGATGATTGGGCTGATTTGGATGACATGGATTTTGGTCCACCCTTCACCAGGATTGACCTGAAAAACAAGAAAAGACAGAGTGATGAGACTCTCTGCAGGCAAGTGTGTAGCTTCTTTCTGTAAACAGACTTTTGAATCTGGGGTTCATGGGATTTTTGTTGCCTGTCTGATGATGCTTGGGGTCTTCCTGCTGACCTAAGCCCTTTTCTCTCCATTCAGATTTGAGAGTGTTCTGGATCTGAAGCCCTCTGAGCCCATGGGTACAGGAAATAGTGCCCCATCCCAGACTTCCTATCAGAGGCGAGACACGCCAACCCTGAGATCCGCCGCCAAGCAGCACTACTTGAAGCACTCCCGATACCTGCCTGGTAATACACTGATCAATGATAAGGACTCGTTTTCCTGAAATCCCCCATATACAAAGATTCTGTTTGGGAAAGCAAATGCTTGGGGCTGCTCTTCAGAACTGTAGAAGGAAGCAGCATAGATATATTTGCTGAAGCCCAGGCCCCACACTTTTGTATAGTTGCCTGAAACAAGAAATTTGGTAGAAAAAACTGGGCCCAGCCCCTAGGCTGGAAGGAACTGGTAAGAGCCAGGCAGCATGTGTGGGCTCCTTCCACTGCCAGGTTCAGGAGAAGATGACAGTCCCGTGTGCTCTCAGAAGCCAGGGTCGGAGCTTAGTCACACCATCTGGCAGTGCTCGAGGGGTAAGCACTGGAGTTTGGGGGGTGTGCAAGCCTCTCCATAGTCTGTATCTCTAGCTGGCAGCTTTAGCCAGCTGTTTATTCCTAAATTTACTCAATCGGTCAGTAAGTACTAGGCATCGACTGTGTGCTCTACACTGGGCATAGTACGGTGAATAGACTCACCAAGCGGGGCCATTGAGTCGCCCAACTCTAGGGGCCTCCATCTACATCAGAGTCTATGTGAGGACTTTACACAGCAGCCCTGCAGACCATACCCTTGACCTCATCAGTATACTTTCTGGTATGGGAGACGGATCCTAAACAAATAGCCAAATGGTACTGATGGTGATAAGCGATATTAGGGTGATGTGATGGGGGGAGGCACCATTTAGACAGAGGGGTCAGGAAAGGACTCTCTGAGCAAGGAACTCCCAGCTGGGCCACAAAATGGGAAGGAACTAAATGTGCTTAGAACAGAAGGAAAAACACATGAGGCAGAGGAATCAGTAAGTACAAAATCCTAGAGGCAAGAAAGACTCTGGCTTCTGAGAGGAACAGCAGAGAGGCCAGTGGGCCAGAGCACAGCAAGAGAGAATCTAGTATGTATTATAAGGTGTCTTTTGGGATCCTGTAAGAAATTTGGATTTCATTTCCTGAGCAGTGGGAAGCTCTTAAGGAGTTTATTTGGTGGAGTGATGTCTGTGCTGAGTGGGGGAGGAGTTAGCAGGCTACAGCTGGTGTCCAGGTGAAGGAACCATGAGTGACTCGGGCTGGGGCTGGTGGTCAAGGGGAGGAAATGGATGTGATGTGGGAATGGCAGGGCCTGCTGATGTACTGAATTCCTCATTCTTGGGTAGGGCTTCTACATACTGTCGTATTTTACCAGGGCTGACGCGGTGGTCTTAGAACATTGACAGTTCCTAACATGACCTGGAAGGAGAGAGTCAAATGACAGGGTCCAATAGTGATCCATTTGTGAGGGATGAGGAGTCAAACTACTGATCCTGGGAAAAAAGGAGCAGGGAGTGAAGTGGAGAGTTATTTATTTTTGCCTTTAAGGGCAAAAGAGCAGGATAAAAGAATTAGATCTTTCATTCTGAATCACATGTGCAGTGTCTGACATAAGTGGGAAAGTGGGTGATCTCAATGGAAAGTGGTTTGGCTTGAAGCTAAGGAGCGGAGGCTGAGTTCAAGGCAGGCTTGGAGCTGAGGGGGTCTGTGTGGGCCATTGGTACAGACTGGGGTCATCAGTATGTGATGGTGGGGATGGCCCAGGTCAGGTGAGAAGATGGAATATCGGGGGAATGTAGAAAGAGGGGAGCAGAGAACTGCAGAACTGGGAGGTGAGGTAGGGGGTGGTGAAGAACTTAGAAAGGTGACAGGAAGACAGTGGTCTCTGAGGGGGATGAGTATGAATGTCCAGGAGCACCGAGTCCCAGACAACACCAGAGAGGGTGGAGACAGAAGACATGGACAGAAGTTTAAGAAACTTCTACCACCCGTGAGATGACATTTAACCCCAGTGACAGCATCTCCCCTGCCATTGCTCAGATGACCTCATTATGGTCCATTTTATCTCACATTATTAAACCACAGGAATTTTTGACCAATTGGATTCTGCATTTTTCATCCCTAAAGTCTGGTACAAGATTAAATATACACTTTGCATTTTAAAATAATTTCTTCCCTATTAGGAATAAATATAAGAAATGGCATACTTCCGAATCCAGGCAAGGATTTTATTCCATCTAATCCATGGTCTAGTTCTGGTTTGTCTGGAAAATCTTCCGGGACTGTATCGGTAATCAGCAAAATAAATTCAGGTGAGTGATGAATTAATTCCAAAGTGACAAGCATATCTCTCTGGATGTGGCAGGGTGGGTACAGAGAGCTGAGGGTCTGAACTGTAGGCCCTGGTGTGGAAACCCAGGGCCTCTCTCCCAGGCCTGCACTCTTCTCTCTCTCTTGGCAGCAGGCCCTGGGGACTCAGCCAGTTCCCATAGGTTCTTCCCTCAAGAGTAGCTGGGGAGTAGAGCATAATATTCCCAGGCTCAAGGGGAAAACAAAAATAATGTTAGAGTCCTGGACAGTCTGACTTCTGAGGCCCTGCTGTACAGAGAGTGACTTCCTTCTGAGTGCAAGTCGAACAGAGCTGGTTCGCTCCATCTCCTAACCCAATTGCCTTAGCCAATTGCCTTAGCCCAGGGCAGCAAAATCCCCTCTGGTTGGAAGGTGTACAGTTTGGAAGAACCTTTCCACTTTTTTTTTTTAATAGGGTAATACATTTTGTAAGTTCTCCAGACTGACTAACCCCATTCCCAGCAGAGCGGTTTCCCTTGTGGTTTTTTCACTCACAGAGACAAACCCTGCTTAGTGCTGTTTCCCCTTCCAAGTGGCCAAGTAAGCCTCTAGACATCACTCTCCTGACTTTACTCATTATGTGTTCTTTTATTTTGAGGAATACAGGAAGAAAGAGATAATATATCAACACCCTTACCCCCACCACCTGGCTTAAGGAGTCAAACTTGCAAACACACAGGAAAGCAATATCTGGCTTCCCTCTGCTTCCCTCCTCCCTCACCCACTCCCCCAACTTGATTTCAGTGTTTATTATTTCTACGCAATTTTTAAAAAATATTCCAGAAACATATAGTATGGTTTTGTGTATTTTAAAATTTTTATGCACATAATCCCAGATCTCTACTTCATTCATTTACTTTATTTTTTCCTGTACAAGTCAACTTTTTAAAAACTAAATTAATGTTGTTTTACATTGTTGTTGGTATTTTGGAAGTGTAAGTATATATGTTGTTTCCACAGAGCTTTTGCCACCAAAGTACCCATAGTACCCCCACCATAGTCCCTTGTGCTCCCTGCCAGTATGTAGCAATCATACATATATAATATGTATCATTTTATATGTATTGTATAACACAACATATATAATTGTACCATACCATATTATTTAAACTAGACCATCATTTATTCATCCCTTTGCTTCTTGACAAACATATAAGTTGTTTGTAGTTTTTGTTATGAGCAAATGTGCAGAAATCACCATTGTGTCCCCTGCGCTGGACACCATGTGAGGCTTGTCTGGGTATGATGTCAACATGGTAGATTAAAGGGTGTGCTCATCTTCGACTTTACAGATATTGCCAAATTGCTGTCCAGCAGGGTCTGGGAGTTGTGCTGCATCCTTGATGCCTCTTGGTACTGGCAAGATTGTGAATTTGTGCTAATCTCATGGGTGTGAAATGGCATCTTACTGTGACTTAAACTTGCATGTCCTATTTACTAATGAGGTTGAACATCTTGTCTTATATTTATTGACTATATGTTTTTTGCTGTTTGTGTCTTACCTCTTCAAATTCTCTTCCTATTTTTCTATTTGTTCCCCAAAACATGCAAAATATGCTCCAGCTGACCAACACAGCTCCTCACACATCCATCACAGACCAATTCTCCCACTCTGCCTTAAGCAATGACCAAGAAAACTCTTTGTCGTGAAGACCCAGAGCAGCTCTGCCCATTCACTCTTTTCCTAATGGCTCTAACTTCCCTTTGCCTAATATTTCATAATAGCAGCTGTCATTATTCCACATGTATCTTTAAATCTTAATAATAAGACTTATTGTAGATATGTAATCGCTTACCTGATACATATTAATTACTGACTGTATGTAAGGCATTTCATTAGCCTCCTGGAATATTCAGATGAGTAGCATACAGTTCTGACCCTTAAAGCACTCTCAGGATGGAAATGACCTCAAAAGTAAATGTATTTTAATATATTTTAATAGCGATTTATTTTTTTTATTATGGACAAGAATACCTAGTGTAGAATTATTTGTAATAAGTGAATAATTTAGACAACCTGTGTGCTGCTCAATGATCGGATAGTTAAATGAATTATAGTGTAGCCATACTCTAGAATTTGTATAAAATGACATGGAAGAATAGCTGTTCTATATTATGAAGTAGAAAAAGCAAATTTTGGAACAGGCTAAAACTATTATTCAAAAAAAACCCCAGAAAATTCCAAATCCCCCTGTTCTTTAACCAACCAACCATTCGCTGTTGGAGTGCACGCTATTAAGATAGCACTGCCTTTGCCTCCCGGTGTCTTTCTGACAGTGTGGTGTGATGGAATGCTCTGCTGAGAAGTCACTGTTTTTATCTTAATTCTTTTTATCCTCTTAAAGTAGAAGTCTAATTATTTATTGTCCTGCACTGCTGTCTTTTAACCCTGTTGGTGTCGTGTGTACGTGTCTTTGTAGTAATGAGCTTTTGCTTTTGCAAATCAGTTGGTTCCGGCTCAACAAGTTCTAGTGGACTGACTGGAAGCTATCTTCCCTCCTTCCTGAAAAGAGAAATTGGTTCTGCCATGCAGAGGGTACACCTAGCACCTATTCCAGACCCTTCTCCTGGTACGTTCTATTTTGAATTATTCAAGAATTGAGTCCTCAAATAGTTTTTAGATGATTGCTTTGTGCCAAGCATGTTATAGGCCTAGGATCCTCCAGTGTAGAGCATGGACAAAGTTCCCAGTTTCTTGTGGAATAATATGACATACATACAATATGTAAACCCAATAAGATGACTGAGTGCTATGGAGAAAGATACAACCGGGAAGTAGGAAGTAGGAAGTGTTGGGGTTGGCATGTGGTTAAAGTTGCAGGTTTAGATAGGATAAGCAGAGCAGACCTCACCACAAAGGTGACATTGAGTAAAGGTTGGAAGAGGTCAGAAGAGGTGAATGTGCAAGGCAGGTGACATGGGTGAGATTGCTCTAGATAACGGACTCTAAATTCATGGGCTCTGAGGCAGGGCAGGCCTAACATATTCAAGGGATAACAAGGAAGCAGAGTGTGGTAGTGGTGTGAGAGGCGGGGACTGGGAAAAGAAGGTGAAGAAAGTGATAGTGTGAGGCCTCACGGGCCACTGTAAACTTGTCACTGACTCTTGGCCACGAGGAAGAACTGAAGGGTCAAGCACTGCCAGTCACACGGGGGAAGTTGGGAAGGTGTTGCAACTATCCAGTCAGGAACAAGGGTGGCCTGGATGGGATGGATAGAGTGGAGAGTCACCCCAAGATCTGGGTATTAGAAGGTAGAGCCACTTGCAGGTGGGATATGAAAAAAAGAGAGACACCAGGAATGACACAATAGTTTTGGCCTGCCAACTATAGAATGGGATTGTTTCTAGCCTCGAGACAGAGTAGTAGGCAAACTGGTTTTCTGGAATCCTCACTTTCTGAGGCTTTTGTCAGCAAGATGCATTTATCTATACTTTGTTTGCGTGGGTCCCATGTCAATCTGGTCCACGATTCTCTTTCATGGCAGGTTATTCTTCCCTGAAGGCTGTGAGACCTCATCCTGGGCGACCTTTTTTCCACACTCAACCTAGAAGCACTCCTGGGCTGCTGCCACGGCCACCGGCTGCCCAGCCAGTGCATGGCCGGACGGACTGGGTTTCCAAGTACGCGTCCCGGCGGTGACCGTCGTGAAGCCCTTCACAGGGCCAGTGGGACGCTGTCCCTTGACCAACTGGTGTTCTAGCTGCAAAAAACTTTTGGATGGTGTAAAAGCAAATACTTTATAGTTATTCTTCTGAACTAAGACATTTCAACATTCTTTTTTAAAGTTTTTTTTTAATATTGATTTGAATCAATACCCTTTTTTGGTACAAAATTATTTTATTCTACAACTGGGTCCCATTATTTTCGTAAACAGCAGCATTTTGTATATATATGGATTATGTTTTAGCATTTTATACAGTCAAGTTTGTAATGAACTTTTTAAAGATTAATTGATTTTTCTTTGGGGTTCCAGATAATATTTTATACAGATTTTTAAAAAAAGCTAATATTGATGCAGTATTGCAACAGGGGTGCAATTTAAGGCTATGTGATAAAATGTTATTTACACATTGTGTGGGGATATTTGTAGAGTGGTTAATTTCTTTATTATTGTTTTTTGCAGTGGTTAAATTTTAAATGTGGCACTTTTGGTACCTCAACCTTTCTTGGACTACCATCAGCACTAGAAAAATGATCTCCCATCTTTTGCAATATCATGCTATTGATTTAATTTTTTTTATACTACTATGGTATTTTAAACATTCCAGTATGTAATTTACTCTGTTTTGTTTTTGTTCCTTAGTTGAAATAACTCTAAGTAAATATTTTTGGAAAGTTTTACAATACCCTTTCCAGTAATTAGATCTCCAAATGAATCCAAACTTTAGCATGCTATGCTACAATATTCTATTTTCTTTCATTATTGAAATCCAATTTGACAAATACCCACAAAAATGGAAACCGTTCTAGTCAAGAGTTCTCACATAAAGGTTAACACCATCAAATTTATATCCTGCCAAGCGACAGGACCAAAAAGCTAATCCAGAGGAACAGAAGATATTTTTTATAATAACTGATAGAATTTCACATTCAGCTCAGTTCTGCAAGCCTGGCTGGGAACAGATAATGAATTATCTTCTGTCCTAACCAAATTTGGGGAGCAGAAAAGATATATGGCAGAGACTTCACTTATCTGAGAATTTCACAGTTACTGAGGTATTGGTGTCCATAACCTGCCACATTTAAATCTTAACCCTTGTGTAGTTTCTTTCTACATTGAAAACTATTTGTTGGGCAGAGGCTGTTCCATTAAGAGGAATGTTTACAGCAATTTTGAAAATGACAAAGCTAGTTTGGAGACAGAAAAAGAGAAAAGGTCCACTCTGGGGCATCTCTGTAGGGCATATTTGCCTCCACCATGGTTATCTTAAGAGGGAAGGTCACGGCCAGTGAACACTATAGTCTCAATAGTGTGTTAACTCACATTCTCCCAGGGCTCAAGCTACTCTCTCTGCTTCTAGACTTAAGGATATATCACCTTGAACCATATGAAATTATCATTTTTATAGGTTAAAATGAACGTTAGCATTGATGTTTCAACCTAATAAGTTGGTAAATTATTGCTTTGATGTTTTAATAATATGTTGAAACCTGAACAAATTATCATGGCCCTAAAGCACCTTAACCTAAAATAGAGAGTAATTGATGCTTTGGAGAATCTGGCTCAAAAATGTACTTGACCAAGCTCTATGATCTCCAGGGACAGGAGAAAAGCACATAATGGATGTGGATTTGATAGGTAATATTTTCCTGTTAACAAACTGGCAGCAAAGCTTCAGAAAATAAATATGTAATTGTAAGCACAACTTGAAGCCGAATTCATTTCTGTATTATATTCCCAACTTTTTATCTAAAGCAACAGAAAATGTGTTTTGAGAGATGAGTCCTTTAGTATGAGGTTAATAATATTTATTATCCCTTTCTGTATTATGTATAAAAAATAAGTGCATCTGAGACCTTACCCGGCTTGCTGGAAAGCTGGTTTTAAATTGTAAATACCCTATAGAGAGGCAAGTAGATTGTGAATACCATATTGTTCACACTCTAGCTTATGTTTAGGTCATTACATTTTTTTAATTGAAAAACCTAGTAACCTGGTTATTATACATTACAAAATTGTTTTTCCAATACTTTTGTAGGACCCAACTCAGAAAATATTCCACCTTTGTTCCTTTTACTCTTTCCTTTGTTTATCAGCAAACCACTTCCCTTGGGAAACCAAGTACTGAAAACACAATGTAAATTTTAAAAAGCTAGCAAAATCCTATAAAGTGCTCCTTCACCCTTCACCTCAGTGGGTAAAGCACAAATTGTGTATACTCTCTGTATACTAGAGACGGGAATAATGACCATTATTTGTTAAGTGAAAATAAAATTTTACTTGTTGCATGTAATGTTTAGTTACTATAGAATTATAAAATGCATTGCAAGACAACGAAAAGAACAATGAGTTTAACTGTACCTACCCATGACTATACCTCATTTCCAGTTAGAAACCTTTCTGGGAGATCAGGGGTGAGCTCTCAATCTGCACCCAAATGTTCAGAAACAATGGTGTTTCGAGGGGTACATCTGTGCACAGCAGGGGAAATTGCTTGAACAGTTTTCTTGGTATGATTGTTCATTTCATAAAATTCCTTTAGTTACTAGACCCTCACCCAGCACATACATTATAAGACTTAAATAGGGAGAAATTTCAAGGAAATTTTTAGATACATCTTTTGCCTCAAGAACTGTATACATCTAATAAATTTATCAAAAATTGAATACAATCAAGGCAACATATGTAATAGAAAACAAGATTTGTGCTGTTAAGTATAGATACCAGTACTGTTGGGGCTCGTGGGCACCGCATTTTCTCACAAGGTAGCATTTCTCTACCATCAGCTATTGTTTTGTGCCATCTAAAAGAGAAAAAGAATGCAGGCTGTATGTTTCAGTTCAGTGTATGACCAAAAGCAATATGTTTATAAGAAAACGTTCAACATAATGATTATTTCGTATCATTTAAAGCATACTGTAGCAACTTGTTGAATATATGTGGGTGATTTTTTAGAGTTATTTTTACACTTTCCAACCAAAGTACTGTATTTTATATAATTTATTGTGAGGACCTTCTCATGGAAACCATTAAGAAGACAAACTGGAGGCAAATATCACATTAATCTGTATTATTAGATTCTTATATAGACACTGTGCTATGTGAATTTTAAATGACCTGAACAGTCTTCTGATCTCAGCTATCTCTGCACTGATAGCAGTTTAGTCACCTGATTTGATTATGAGGGAGTAACTGAGAATATATTTATTTATAAAACAAATATTCATAATTATGAGAAAATAGGAGGATAGAAAACCACTTATACAGTTGCCTTTTAAATAGTTCTATGGTATTTACAACCTTAACTTAAGGAAAATTCTCCTGCTCCAAATAAAATTACAATTTAAGAAAAATTGACTTGAGTGTTCTCTTTTTGTTGTTATGTTCTTTCATCAAAAGATAACATTATTATTTTCTTATTTGGAATTTTTATATCTTACAGCTTCTTACTGCTTAGTACACTGTTACTGTGAAATTGGAAGCATACACTTAGAGCAACCATATGAAGAGTTATCTGGTATTTCCTGCTCATAAATTGAAAGAATTAACATTGTCCAAATGACCATCTTGCCAAAGCTATTCCTATCAAAATTTCAATGGCATTCTTCAAAGAAATAGAGCAGACATTACTGAAAGTCATATAGAGCCACAAAAGATCCTGAGTAGCCAAAGCAGTCCTGACAAAAAAGTATGGTGATATCACACTTCCAGACTTCAAACTATACCACAAATAATCAAAACAGTATGGTATTAGAAACAGACATGATGGTATAGAATTGAGAACCCAGAAATAAACCCACATATATATGGACAGTTAATCTATGACAAAGGAGCCAAAAATATACACTGGAACAAAGAAACCCTCTTCAATAAATGGTGTTTGGAAAACTGGACAGCTACATGCAAAAAATGAAACTAGAACTCTATCTCACACCATATAAAAATATCACTCAAAATGGATAAAACAGTTGGGTGTTAAGATCAGAAACCATAAAATACAAAGAAAAAAACAGGCAAAACACACTACAACAGAGGTTTCAGAGGTGTCTGTGGATTTGTCTCTAAACAGCAAGGGAAACGAAAGAGAATGTAAACAATTGAGACTATATAAAACTAAAAAGCTTCTGCACAATGAAAGAAACTCACTAATACAAAAAGAAATACTGCTGAATGGGAGAAGATATTTGCACGTCATACATCTGACAAGGAGCTGATATCCAAGAACTTACACAAAAGAAAACAAAGAACCCAATCCAAAAAAAACAGCAGGAGTAGTAAATAGGCACTTCTCAAAAGATGGCCAACAGGCATGGGAAAAGTGATCATCATCATTCATCATCAGGGAAATGCAAATCATAACCGTGAGATACTACCTCACTCCTGTGAGAACAGCCCATATCAAAAAGACCAAAACCAAAAAGTGTCAGAAAGGATGTAGAGAAAAAGGAACCCTAGCACACTGCTGCTGGGAATGTAGGCTGGTCCAGGCCCTATGGAAGACAGTGTTGAGGCTTCTCAAAATATTAAAGATCAATCTACCATATGACCCAGCACTTCCACTCCTAGGTAACTTCCCGAAGAATACAGAGACACTAATGCAAAGGAAAACCAGCACCCCTATGTTCATTGCAGCACTATTTACAATAGCCAAACTATGGAAACAACCTAAATTCCCCAAAACTGATGAGTGGACCCGGAAGATGTGTTATATATACACAACGGAATAGTACTCAGCTGTTAAAAAAAAATCCCTTGCCATTTGTGACAACATGGATGGAGTTGGAGGGGATTGTGCTAAACGAAATAAGTCAGATGGTGTCATTTGTATGTGGAATGTAGAAAAACAAAACCAGGGGTCAGATAAAGCCAAACTAGTAACAAACTCTAGAAATCTGACTGCAGGACTGAGGCTAACAGAGAATGGGGGAGGGGCAAGAACGAAGTAGGGAGGAAGTTTAATGGACCACGAAAACCCATGTTACTGAAATTAAAGAAATACATACATAAATAAGAAATCCTGCCATTTGTGACAACTTTGGTAAATCCAAAGAGCATCACACTTAAGTGAAATAAGTCAGACAGGGAGAGACAAACACCAAGTGATTTTTACTCTTATGTGGTATATAGGAAACCAAGTGAATTAACAAAAAATAAAATAAACTTTGGGACTGTAAGACCAAGTTTTGGGTACTGGAAAGGAAGAGGGAAGTGGGTAGTTAAAATGGTAAAGGGGTCAAGTGTATGGTGAGGTGAAGGATACATTTGGGCTTTTAGTGGTTAACTTAATGTAGTACAGGCAGATGTTGATTTATAATGATAGCTACCTGAGTTATATACCTTGAAGTGAAAATATATTATTGAGCAAATGAATATAATAAAGATTCCAGCAGAACTTCCAGCAATGAACACTCCAATGCAGGCATCATTAATAAGTTTGCTTACGTACAGCTCCTTCCCTTTCAAGATTCATGGCCATGGCCTCAGCACTCTTATCTACAAGGTCGGGCAGCCAACCAGCTAGTCTCTCTCTCCAAGGCCATCCCTGAATGCCTGCATGTTTCCCTCCTTGCCTCGCCCCCCCCCCCCCCCCCGTTGTTTGGGGACTTTGCCACAAATGGTTGTGCCTGCTGAAAAGCGATGTTATCAATGTAACAGATATGGAGACAGTTATGTATAAAAGGAACCCTTGATCTTTAAACGGGTGCTCAGACCTTACGGGGCTACCCTAAGGTAGCCTGGGTCTGGGACCTCATGCATGAGTAATAAAGCTTCTCCTGACCTCACCGTTCCTGAAGTACCGCTTGTTCTTCCTCTGCCTGGGTAAAAGGCTAGAATTCATTGCTACAACAACTTCAGTAAAAAATCATTTTAAAGCAACTTGTATGGCAATGTGACGGACTTCTAAAATTTATTTAGGTGACTGTGAATATATTTTAAAAGGTCAAAATGATTTCTTATTGCCAGTTTCATAATGATTAATACCAATCCAGTATGTTTTTAGCTTTTCCTAGCACACTCACATGTACAGTATAAACTTCTAGAAGAAGCTCATCGCTTCATGAATGACATACTGGATTTTAAGGAAATTTGTTCCCCAAACATTCTTTGAATCCTCGAAAGAGATTGGTAGGAACATGATCTACCAATCACACTTATTAGTGTATTGTGAATCCCTAAATGTGCCCCTTCATCATCAAAACATTGCTATTCTGGCTCATGGTTAGCAATGGCTAACTTTTTGGCATCATGTGAGCATCCTGTCCCTTCACAAGCCCCAGAGATTCAAGCTGCAGTCATCTCTCCTACTATAAAAACCTGTTGTTGGAATAGGGGCTGGCATCTGCCATTTATCCCTAAGACTTGATTAAGCCAATTGTTTTCCTCTTCCTGAGAGTTTGCATATAAAGCTTCTCAACTGAGATTTAAAGCTCTCAAATTTTGTGAAGGCAATTTTGCCTGCTTTTGAATGGGTGGGTGAAAGGTTAAAGGTGGAGAGGACTTCATAGGATCCCTCAAAATATCTATACTTCAATCAGGTGGGCAGCTAGACACTAAGATTGCCCCAGACTCAGGACAACTCCAAACATCTCCAAGAAGAATGATTTCAGGAGGTTGCAAGCAATAAAATGAACAATAAAATTCCTCTCATAAATGGGAAGAATTATTGTAACAAACTTTTTATTTCTCCACATGCCTGTGTAATAATAGAGTCTTAGGATACTTACTGCCTTAGTTTCGTTTACAAATGAACAAGATTGTTATGATGATGTTACCTCAGCTGTTAGGTTGGATAGAGAAGTTGCTGTTTTTGTAGGTTAGGAAAAAACAAATAGCAAAATAGCAGCAATTTGATAAGTTTCACCCAATTAGAAATAATGAAATGGAGATCCATAAATTGAATAATAATGCTTGTCTTAACTATTGATAGTCCAGTGAAAAGGAATCCTTAAAGAAATATGGAAATAGGAAACATATTTCCTTAAAGAAATATGTTCATTTAAAAAATGAACAATGATGTAAAAAATTAAAGAAATATGGGCTGGGAAGAATGAATAAAGGATGGAAAATATGACATCCTACTCATGTTAAACTGAGTTATCTCTAAGGTAAGAATAAGAATGATGAAATTGAGTGTGTACTGTTAGTCTTACCTGAAAGTGGGTATTCTGATCCTGGGGGTATCAGACGTTCTCAATATGTTTCTCTTCGTACATAACATATTTTCTCTGGAGTACGTTTTCCTGACAGCTTGACCCATTTCAGATCTCCATTTTGAGTGATCGTTGGCTTATGGAAATACCTAGTGGACATTTCTACTTGAAATGGAATGCTCAAAGGAAGGAAAGACAAACTCATTATTATTTTTCCCAAACCTGTCCTCATCCTTCCTTTATGGATCTTAAAAGAATACACTGTCCTTCCATCCTCCTTCCCTCCCTCTCTCCCTTCCTTCCTTCTTTCTCTGAACACCTACTCTGTGCTCAGCATTATCCTAGTAGCAGGATATACAAAAGTATGTTTTTTAAAAAAACTTGTATTTTATCAAATGCAAGACAGATAACAAATAAAATATATAGAATGCTAGATGACAATAAAGGTTGTGAAAAATTTGTTGAGTGTTGTGTGTGTGCCCTTGGGGTGCAGGCATAATTCTCGACATTTTTTCTCCTTTCCCCTACTCCCTTCTATCTGATAAGAAAATCCCTTACCTTTTGCTGCCTAAATATTTCATCTTTGTGTAACCCACCTTTTTCAAATTCATGCTGCTAGTTTAATTTACACGGACATTTAACTTGTCTCTTTTTCTCTACCACCCCACTGTCTCAATTTATTCTCCATACTTCTGCTAAAACAAAAATCTAAAAATCAAATGCTACCAGTTTAGTTTTTGCAATTGTACTGCACTGCAGGCTTCTCAAGCTCCCCATCATGGTTGACAAAAATAATCAAAACTGTGATAATCCGAGTAATAGGAGCATCCACCTTGAAAACAAGAAGTACTTTTTTTATATTTTTTTACATCAACATCATTGTTCATTTTTAAACAATAGTTGCTACCCCCCACCCCCTCAGATGTAGTCCCATAGAGTTTCCTTCCCCAAGGCACCCCTGCACCATCACCTCAGTCCCTTGTGCTCCTCCCTTCCTACCTCTCACCCCTCTCCCTTCTCCTCCCCTGCAGCATGTCTCTGATTTATAATTATCTGTTTTTGCTTTGTTGTGTTTCGTACTGTTATTATTTTTTCACACTGATGTCTTATTTCGTTCACCTATATTCCTGCTATAAGTGAAACCATCCGATATTTTTCTTTTTCCTTCTGTCTATTTAACTGAGCATAATTCCTTCTAGT